GTAGACATACAGCATGAATCTGGTATTTGTAACTTCTGTAATTTACATTTCTTTGGATTCTGATATTTTCTTAGGATTTCTTCTAGTCTCTAGTGTGATACTTATGATGAAGAACTTATAGTGGAAACTGAAGCCTTTAGTTTCTCAGACTCAGCTTTTGATGATTATTAGGTTTTGTTTGTTTAAACAGTTGTTTTGCTTTAGGAAATGTAACCGGTAAGGGTACTTGGTTAATAGTCATGTTTTATGTTTTGTTTTAAGTATCGCTTTGATACTTGGTTTGTTTTAAGTATTATTTGATACTTAGTTTTGTTTTAAGTATCGCTTAGATACTTGGTTTGTTTTAAGTATTGTTTGATACTTAGTTTTGTTTTATGTTTTATTTTAAGTATCACTTAGATACTTGGTTTGTTTTAAGTATTGTTTGATACTTAGTTTTGTTTTATGTTTTATTTTAAGTATCGTTTGATACTTGATTTGTTTTACCAAAGGATATTGCTTGATATCTTTAATTGGTTTTATTCATGCTAGATATAAACAGATTTGTGTATTTAAATACCTCCTGTTTCCACGATGGAAAAGGTAGACTTCAACATACTGTATTTCAATATACTTAGTTGAATAGTTATCTCTTTGTTTCTCAGTATACCCCCGAAGCTTCCTTTAATTTCCAGCTCTTGCCTACTCTCTGGTAGAGCAGGCCACCTGCCAACTATCATACCATTTACCGATAACGTGATTAGCACCTTGTGAACATGTTACAAGATTGGATAATAGAACAGGAAGCTCCTAGCAATGCTCCCTCACATAAACAGCTTCAGGAAATAGCTATCCTGATTCTTAGGGCATCTGGAGAGATGGAGCTTCTCAGTAAACGATGGGCTCTCAACTTCCTTAAAGGCAATCCCCATATCAACACCTTACTGGGCAAGCCAATTGAGTAATCCTGTATCTGTAGTACCCAGTCAGAGCAAATTCAGAAGTTTTTCGAGAACTTCAATGTGATATGCCATCAAAAAAACATTCAAGAAGAGGATGTATGGAATATGGATGAACATGGGATTGGTCTTAGTATTTGCAACAACTCGAGAGTACTGGGAGCCAGCAGAAAACGATAAACGTATATCAAATCACCTGAAAACTGTGAGTAGATCTCTCTACTTGAGTATATTAGTACCTCAGGTCACTCCATCTATCCTTTTGTCATCTTCAAACGCAAAGCCGTTCAGACATCATAGTTTACAGATTATGATATTCCAGATCGGCTAATTACCACCTCATCTAAAGGCTGGACTGTAAACTGTATTGCTCTCCGCTGGTTAAAGGAAATATTTCTTCCTGAAACAGCTCAGACTAATTCTATGGGGAGGGAAATGTCACATCTTTTCATCCTAAATAGACATAGTAGTCATGTTCATATCGAGTTTATGTGGGATTGTAAACAAAATAATATGTCTCTTCTCTTTCTTCCTGCTCATTCAAGCAACGTTCTCCAGCCTCTCGACCTGGGAACATTCTCTACACTTAAGTCACATTATTGAAGAGAGATTACGGATCTTGCTTTGTTGGATGATGCAGCCCTGGTCAAAAAGCGTCACTTCATTCAATGTTATCAGAAAGCATGAGCTGAGACCGTCACTTCTTGTCTACTGAGATCAGGATGGTCAGCAAACCAGCCTCTATCCCTGGAACCCTTCCATAGCCCTCAATTCCTTACAAATCTATATTACAACTGAACCTCCACCACCTACTACACCAAAGTGTACCAAATACGAGTTTAATGAGGATGATATGATATTTCCTACTCCCAAGCATCCACGGGACCTTCATTTATCGATAGGGAAGCTCGGCCATATGAGACAAGACCTGCGGTTCATATTGCGAAAGGCTAATAAGGCAATTGGCAAGCTTGTAACTGAGAAAGCATTGGTTCAAGCGAGTAACTATCAGCTCTTGATACAGCTAGAGGAACTGCTGAGTAAAAAAAATGAAAAGAAAGGTGGCTACTGACCCGAATACTCTTTTTGCCAATGCAGAAGCTATTAAGAACTCAATGGATGAAGCAGCCAGGGCTGAGCAGGCATTGATAAAGAAATGTCCAGCACTTGAGGCAGAACCTCTGCAAACTTCCAGGGCACTTCAGAAAGCGAAAATGAAATCCTGTATGTTCGAGTGGCAAATGTAAATATGTTCAATTTTATAAGATTTATTCTGTTTTTAATTTTTATTGCTCCTGTAGACTTAGTTTAAAAGTTGGGAGTTCATGATACCGGGAGCCGTTGTGATAGCCAAAAACTATGGGTGGCCGAAAACCCTGTCAGCCAGCTTAATCTCTCATGTTGAAACCTGTGCGAATCGTTTGTGCTGTAGTTAATATCTATCTTGTGATAAACCCCGCCCATCGTAAGTGCTATTCCCCTGTTTCTATCGAGTAGAACCGTTGAGTGATCCTGCATTCTCCCGACCGTCAAAAATTCTGACACTACTGGGTTTCATAAATGGAACGGATGTCGTTCGCGAGTTTCTCACCCGTACAGTGAAATCTCCGTTATCTCCAGGTCTTCGAGAGACTAGCTAGGGGGGCTGTCCGCAGTATTGCGATTGATATACCCTCACCTTCGAATAGAAACTTACTATTCCAGCGTACCCGTACTGTACTCTCCAGCTAACAAAAATCTATAGGCTACGATAGTTCACCCCTAATAATTCAAATATTCCCATACCCTAAGCCCTATGTCTACTTATCAGTCTTCCCTCGCACCGAACTCCTTTGCAATTTTTCCTCCGTGAATCCACTTGACCTTCTATATAAAAGATCAGCCTCTTTAAATTGAAACTCCTCCTGCAGAAGCAGCATATTAAAATTATTCCTTCTGTCAAGTTTTAGGCAACAATCCCACTAATCATCTTATAGAAGGTAGAGTTGATTAGAGCTGTCGGTGGACATGGATTATGATAGCTCCTTTACCGTCCGTCTTTTTTGGTCACAGAGAGAGTTGATTCCAATTGCCCTGAACCATACCACGGAGGCCCACGAGGAGGACACTAACAAACTCAAGGGGAAGATGTGCTCGTGCCCGCAGCATTGGTGACCCGGACACCCTACCAACCAGAGCCGGGAGGGAGAAACAGCCGCCTTGTATGATAAGTTTTGTGACTTGTGAACATTTCTCACAAACACACCCTCTACCTCTTGGCAGGAGATGGACGCGAGCAGATTATGCTCAAGCACCTCGACCATACTCGAAATATAGGCGATCACGATCTATCACTCTCTCACTGGCCAAAAGCAAAAGGGTTTGTCCCTTACTCATGCACCAAAAAGGACGTTTCGAGCCACCCCTCGCTCATAGCAATGAGTCACAGCTCTGAACCCCCCCCTTCCCGGTGTGATGCTATAGGTCGGTGACGGACTTTCTGTTTTCTCTCGTTGAGTTATACTCGGGTATGGAGGTTAGTGACGAGACGGGCAGCGTACGATACTCTAAACTACAGATTTCCCACGCCCTGCACCTATTTCTTCGGTAATTCACACCCCGTCTCTCCCATCACTAGCCTCCATACCCGCATATATGCATGTCTCGGCAGTCATGTGTCATCATCTAGCACGATAGTATAAAAGCTTGTTGTAATATGACTTCTTGATTATGACAGAATTTCTGTCACAGTTGCCGGTGAGGGTTTGTGGGTTAGTAGGAGGGTAAGGTCCTGTATCTATGGGGTGTTTGCTCCATAGAATTTCTTGTCACAGAAGGGGGTGAGTCTTGGAGGGAAAATTTGTCCTCTTAAGCACTCCCGACCTTCCCACCTTAGTTTAGTCAAGCCACCCACAGAGAACAACGCAATAGACAACACTTCCACCCTTACTTGATCGGGTCCACTTTTGTGTTCTTTTCTTGTCTCTTTATTTTCCTAGCAATACGACATACAGGCGAGTCAATTCCCTGTGACACTATCCTACGGTTTAACAGGAGGTCACGATTACGATAACTCGCAAGTTCAACTACCGTAAGATCCCACGGTCGCCTGAGGTGTAGTACGAAACAAATTTCACACCGGTATGAGTTCATCTATGGATGAACTCATGACACGGTGGCCTATAATACTCGTAGAGTTTCGTCGGTAACTCTATTATAGTGCTCATTCATTACCTAGTTAATTACGACAGTTTCCTCGGAAACTCTATTGTAATACTAGTTAGATTATCGCTCGCGTTTCCTTTCTTTTTACCGCTCGGCTATGTTGTATCGTTGCTCTTGTTTTTTCCTTTTCTCTCGCACGGGTATATGTCATAGGTGGTGGTAGCGCGCTCTCAAGTAGCATAAGTAGGGCCTGATAGCGCTCCAGTAGAGCATCAATTAAGCAAGAAGTACAACTTCAATCAAGAATTACAACAAAGCTGTCTGCCTTACTCAAATGATAACATATTCCCAACGAGACTCGAAGAAAACGGAATGGCATCAACGACTCCGGCTCACAGGTCTCGGAGTAACTGCGTTTTGCGAAAAAAAAAAATTATCACATATTGTCATGCCTCACAACTCTAGCAGAGAAAAGCAGATCATAATCTACAAGACCCTATCATGATTAATTATTCTCGATCATGATAGAGCACTCGAGCAGTGTCTACCAATTTGCTCAAGCATTCGAGCATAACACTCCTAATCTGCCCGAGCACGCTCGCGGTCATCACTACTCTCGCCTGATCTAGAGTGGGTGCG